CTTTGGCATGAACGCCGCATAGTACGTTATCATGCCAAGAAAAGCCTCAGTTGACTAACATTCTTTGGCTCATCCATATTCTTGATCGCTTCGATCTTCGCTAAGTTCGGTCTTCTGCCATTTCGATCTACTATAAAGTATCGTATTTCTGGTTTGCCAAAAGAACATTTTTCTAACCGAATCCTGAATCCATATTCGGCTATCCTTGCAAAAACAGCTAACAAGTTCTTCATGTGTTCCTCTTCGGTTCTTCCACAAACCAAGATGTCGTCTAGGTAGGTTGCTACCCCTCGCAGACCACTGACCATGTTGTTCATAATTTGCTGGAAGATCCCTGGTGCCGTCTTGATTCCAAAAGGCAGTCTATTGTACTGGTATACTCCTCTATGCTTATTGATCACGACCATTTTCTTCGCTTCTTCTGACAGCTCGATCTGCAGGTAGGCGTCCGACAAATCTATTTGCGAAAACACCGTGCCTCCATTGAGGGATGCGAATATATCCTCTGGCAATGGCAACGGATAGTCATACGACTCCAACGCTTTGTTGGGTCCAGTTGAGAAATCAGCACACACTCTCAGTTTTCCATTCGCCTTCCTGACGCATACGATAGGAGCTGCCCAGTCACTGTGTGTCACTGGACTTATGACCTTCAGTTCCAATAGTCTATCCAACTCCCTTTCGACAGCTTCGACCGCAGCATGGGGGACAGGCCTGCAAGCCTTGAACACTGGACGAACGTTTTCGTCATCTCATGTGTGCTTTCTCCTTCGTGCAGAGTCCTAAGCCTTCCTTGCAGACTTCTGGATAGGCTTCCTTTAGCTTTAGAGCAATGTCTTCGGTCTGCTCTGTCTTCACTTCGGCAGCCATTCTGCTTAAGTGATAGGACATATCTTCGTTCTTCTGGATCCACTCCAGTCCTAGCAATGACTTGTGAGGCGTCACGTATGCGTAGCCTTCGTTCCTGGATCCTTTAATCTCATACTCACACCATAGCTTTCCACCCTCCACTAGCGTTCTTGACAACCACGTTGGTGTTTTCCAGTCGAGGAGCACCCATGCTTCTCCAAATTGATTCGTTCAACAGTGTGATGTCTGATCCAGTATCTAGCAGGAAACTAACTGGATGGCTATTCACTTTTGCTTCGATATACATGCGTGTAGAGTTGACATCCACCATCGCATTTGCAATCTTCGCTACGCTGTGCACATGACGTTTCGGTTTCGTCCAACTTCTGTTCTTACTGGTGTCGCTGCTTGTGTGGATTCTTCGTTTTAAATCTTGCTGAACAAGTGTTTTTCTCTCCGCCACTTGTTCGCAATACTTCTCTTTGTGACCTGTCTTCTTGCACTTCTTGCAAAACCACTGCTTCGCTTTGCATTCCCTGGCAAAGTGAGCTTTCCCACAGTTCCAGCACTCCAGCCTTTGGGTTCCTCCTTGTTTGTTGCTTCGACAATCTTCGCGCAACCAGCTACGGTCTCGCTGTCCTTCTTGAGACTGAGGAAGTTTTCGCACTCCAGGTACAATTCTTGTAGCGACATCTTTCGTCCAGCCTTGTACTCCTTGTCCAGTACGGCTATGAGTCGCTGCCTGATTTCTGCTTCTTTTTGGCTCTTCAGGCCAAATATCCATAACAGGCACTTGATTCCATCGCTGTCGAGTTCGTAAATCTTCGCCTTCTCGCACAATTCGTTCACTCTTCCAGTATACATGAGGTAATCTTCGGAATCCGTCTTTTCCAGCTTCAAACACTGGTACCGCATAGTGAATTCCGAAATCTTCACATTGAACAGCTGCTTCAGTGTTTCAACGGTTTCTTCGAATTTGATCGCGGTTACCTCCTTCGGTAGTACATGCCTCTGATATTTTTCGAAACTGTCCTTGTCTAGCTTTTCGCAGAGAAGCCTCACCCTAGCGCTCTCTGTCAGCTGCTTCGCATCTTCGACGAAGATTTTCTTGTAGCGGGCGTACCATCTGCTGAAGCCCATATCCGCCTCGGGGTCGAAGTAGAACTTTTCGATCCGATTACTGAGCGCGGACATCATGTTCGGCACTTCTGATGATGTACTGATTTGTGCAGTACCTGCAATGTGCTTCAGGAACATCTCCGTCATTTCTTTCCTTTCTTCTTTCATCAACTCCCGGAAATTCTTCTGGTCTTCTTTCATCAACTCTCGGAGGTTCTTCTGGTCTTCTTTGATCAGGTCCTTGAACATGGCCAACATTTCCTCTGCACCTATCTTCGCCATGTTGACTGATGAATTCCGAATCGGCTTCGCAGTTTTCTTCGAGTTAGTTCCTGGTGTACTTCGTCCGTATTCCGGCTACTTCTTGCTGGTAGCCGCTGCCTCCTGATCGCCACTGTTGTGTCCTTTAGTTTCGGACACTTCGTCGTACCTTCGTCCGTTGGGCGGCACACGAGGAACAGAGAATATTTATTAGGAAATAATAGAACAGCAAAATAAGAGCGGCAGATGAGTGAACAGACGAACTGACAATGGCTAACAGCGAGCGCCTTTTATAGCGCTCATTTCCCGCGCAATGAGGCTGCAGGCGCCTCAGCGAGGGCAGATCATACGAGAAAACAGCTGATCAGACACTAACACAACATTTTATATGAGACTTTCGGAGAAGCCCTAAAAGCCACCATATGGGGCAGACCTTTTGCCAACTTATGCAATTTTTTTTCTTTTTTTCAGCTGCTTTTCCAATTTTTTTCGATATAATTTCCTGAAAGTCTTGTGTTTTGGAAAATTGCATAACCTGTTATTGCACCAAACACTGCAAAACTTACAGAATACCGAAGTTTCAACGCTCGATTACTACTACCGCTACCATTACAAAGTAAATGAGCAATTTTTGCTTCAAATCATGAAGATTTTGAAACATAGGTTACGTCACTGCGCTTTCCTGAAATTGAAAAATATTGCGTTTTTCCCCACAAATTTCGCATGTCTCGGCAAAAAAAGACAAGTGTTAGAAAGAGGAGAAGAAGTTGCATTAAATGGTAATAATTTCACAAGGAAATTGCTTATACGGACTAAAGGCTTTCGGTATGAACAATTACCCAAGGGGACGCTTAGAAACAAGGAACTCGGATTACACAGTTTAGCCATGAGAAGGAGGATGTTTGATCTTATCACAGCCCACAAGATTATATTCAAAGATCATCTCGACCCGCTCTCCTTTTTTGAAACTAGGGGTTCTAAAACTAGGGGGGGGGTGGTTCAAGAAAGATAGTCATACTTAAAGCAAGGAGAAATGTGAGGAGGAACTTTTTTGCGGACAGAATTAGTAGTGATCTGGATAGACTGATGAGAATGGGAATGCTTCTTGTGAAGCTTTCGCAGTTTAAGATGCTTTTAAAGGACTATTTGCTTTCACAATGAAAATATTTCATTCGTTGCTTTTTTTGTATTGTGTTTACTAACAAGTTTCTTTTGTTTTGTAATACTTGTCAGTTGATGATTGATGCATAGGACATCCTATGTAATAAATGAAAATGAAAATGAAAAATAAAACACGGCGATTGTATCTGTGTATCTGCTTTCGGGAGTATATGTGTGAGCGAGTGGACAATCGGTAAGATAATTTAAACGGTTCAGTTTTTTTCTTCTCTTCCTTGGGCAATCAAATTTTGCTTGTTGGCTGCAACTTCATGTGGACCTAGCTTGGCAAGTTTGAAGACCGCTTTGTAAAGCTTGCTTTGCGCGATCAAAGGTGCTCATCACATTTATTGGGTTTGCTTTGTTGAGAAAACCATGAAAAGCATACAAAGAGCGACATTTTTTTCCTACCTACCAATTCCAGAGCTTTCCCAGCAACACTTACGCTATGAAAATCGAACGACTGCATCAATTTGTCTCAAAAAAAGCTTCATCTTCAAAAGTACGATGCCACATAATAATCTAATCCCGTGTGTTACATTCTTTAAAGGAACTTGCCGCTTCGAAATATTTATTCAGCATCTCTTAATAATCAACCAAAGTAAGCATCGCAAGTAAGCATAACTGGTCCATTACTAAATCTTAGCTGTCCGCAAGCGACATATTTGAGCCGTTCTATCTGGAAGCCATTTTTTTGAAAAGTCTATTTGTTGTTTTTTCGAGCTATTAAGACTATTCAACGCGTAAAGTGGAGAAGTCCCTTTGAACGAGACAAAGTAGGATATGAACATAGCAAGAAGACTTCGCATCAACATGATCAAAACCCTTGGAAAGATTCCTTCAACAGCAAGCCTGAATATCTTTCACTGTGATGGAAACACTTTTTTTATCTCATCAAAAGAATTTTCTTCGCTGATTTGAAACGGAACTAGTTGCTGATATGGGTAGCTTCAATAAACGGCTTTTTTGGATTCTCAAGACTTTTTCATGTTTGTGTTGGACAGATGCTCTGATTAGTACTGCTACCGTAATTGCAGAAGGCGAATATTGTACCCCTTTTGGAGATTTCGATGTTCCCAAACATTACTTCATCACGTTTGCTGTTGGTTTTGAGCAATGAATCACTTAAAATTATTCATTTTTAAGTACAAATGGTTCGAAACTCTACGACGGGTAGCCATAAATGGCTTTTCGCTTTTGGGGCCCTAGAACTAGCAAAATACCATCCATTTGCCCCATTTCGAATAGATCAACTTTCCTCACATAGGCTCATTGATCTCCTGATTGATACTTCTGCGGTATCAGGCATTTACACAAAGATTTGTTTAGAAAATTTTACAAACCACCGAAATATACAGATTTATCGTCTATTCGTTGCCTGCACGGACTGCTCAAACGTTGCGAACCAGCGCGGAGAGGCTTGAATGTTGCGAGAGCACGACTTCTACAATGGCGACTTTGTACAGATGCAAGCATTTTACCTCGCGGCGCGTGTTCCGCAGTGATGTCGAGTCCGTGCGGTCAACGAATCGACGATACTTTTTAGTTAGCCTAATATTCTCAAAAATGATTACTCTGGAGCAAATAATGGCCCCATAAAGATCTTCCGGTCTTCATACCTGGTAGAGTCGTCGTCTTTGCTCATCCAATTCATTGCGTACTTTTTTTTTGAATCCGAGGGGAAGTTCGTTCCTGAATGAACGAATTTAGCAATGGAATTTTTCTTACTGGAGAACGCACTAACATGGTTCCATTGAACTGCACAACTACATGTGCTGATAGCTTCTTTTTTTGTTTCCACTCTTCAAGTAAACGTGTGTTGTTTTGTATTTCTGTGATATGACTTTCTCCACTACAGTCGTAAATCTAAAAGTGACTAAAGCTGTAACACAATCGCCTACCACAAACAATGCCACTTTGTAAAACCCAACACCACCTAAGATATCATTTCACTTTAATTTTAAGAACAGCTTAAATTTTAGAGACATGAGAAGGAACCAACCACTTTTATTTTGTCTCTGTTCACACGCTTTATTTTCTTCACCACCACTCCTCGGAAAGCCGGAGAAAGGCTCTGGTAGTCTACACGTGTGCAATTCTCCGGTGGAGGCGTTCTTCGTGCTGACACCTGAAGTTGCATTCGAGTCTGCATAGGAAGTCGCAAAAGTGCAGACTCACGCTAATGGGAACGCTACACAGTAAAAGCAGAAACATGCGGTAGATTGGCGCTATTCTCTACAAAACAATATTTATACTGGCAGTATGTGAATACTGAGCTTGTCAAATGAACAAGTACAGCTGATGTGGGCAACGAGATCGAACGTGCGCTAATAGAGAGAGATGTGCAATAGTTCATGCGTACTCGAGTCAATTGCGTCGCACCTACCAATGCTACATCTTACTCTTGTTTCCACACTTTTCGAAACCATCTTTGACATATCCTATAACTGCCTTATGAGAGCGTATGACCGTAGGCTTTATCAGTGTACTCTCACTTACAAGGGAATGGTCAGAAGTTGAAGGCCATCTCAAACAAGCTGCGCACCATTAGATGCATCATAAAAAGCTAACTCCAAGATGTCTTCCTTATCGTTAAACGCTTTGTGGACGAAGCTATAAGCCTTAAGAGACCGGCCACACTGTTCCTGCGGTTCCTGCAGTTCCTACGATTCCTGGGATTCCTGCGGGTCCCGCAACAATGTATACTGCGAAAAAAAAATGTATACTGAAGGTCGCAAAGTGACCCGTCGTGCGGCACATCGGAAGTGGATGAATCACAGAAACTGCAGGAATTACGGGAATCGCAGAAACCACCTCTTGAAAGAGTATGGCTGGTCCATAAAGGTGATTTTTGATTGTAAAGAGCTATGTTCGGTTTGATGCTGAGCCAAAACACGCAGCTAGGTTATTTTATATAGCACGTAGATACTTGGAGGTGAGCTAAAAAGGCAAGAATGTGCCTAATCTCACAACTTTTATTTGTGATTTTCTCGCAGTAAAATTGCTCATAACTTCGCTTATAAAGACGTTTAGCAGATATGGGAGACACAAAGTTTTTATGCTCAATTGTAGATAAACCTTGGCACTGTATACTCGAATTAGCAACCAGTTTTTGAGCTGTCGACTCAGATTGGTAGTAAGACTTTATTCATCAATCGAAAAGCCAACGTTTCGGCGGTCCGTTTACCTTCTTTAGGACTTCCTGAAAAATCAAGTCTTTGAGATCTGCTCGCTCGAACGCCCTGTTTGGCGACAGACTTAGTTAAGCTATGTGATGGAGTAGCAGTAGGTGTTGGAGGCAGTGGCTCGGCAAAACCAAACATACCGAAATTCTGATACGAAAGGTTGCTTCACGCCAAACATGAGAACAGAGGTCCGAGCGCACAGCATGTGCTGTTCCCGCCTAGAAAAGTGCCCCTAAACCCGTGCGCTCAAGCTATTCTTACACGCGCTCGGATAGTTGCAATATCTCTTACACCGTCAAGAGCGACATGCCGCAATGCTATGAACATGGGGGCCCCACAACGACTCTACGTCTCTAACCATGGCGGGAAGCGTTCCATTCGTCCAAATCCAATTTGAAAGGCCTTGGGAAATGCTGGTTTTCACTATTTTCGCGCTCTTCAGGATGGAGATTCGGAATCAGCGCGTCGAATTACCCCAGGTAAGCAAAAAACCACAGGTCGACGGCCATGTTGGTGAACAACGAAGTGGAGCAAGTGATGTTACGGGAATCACGGATATGGGATCCAACGAAGGGGAGCGCATTTTGGAGTTTGCTGATGCTCATGACTTGGCGTTGGCAAATACATACTTCATCAAGCAAAACAGCCATCTCGTAACGTATGCCAGCGGAGATTGGAGGTCACAAATAGACTTTTGGGTGGTGCGACAAAGAAAGCTCAAGCATGCGAAGAAAAGCAAAGTCATCTCCAGTGAAGAATGTCTACCACAACATCGGCCGCTGATTCTGGATTTGAACTGGTAAAATTATAATGATTTATCAAAAATATGACAAACCACAGAAGAAGCTGGTATGCAAATACAGAGAATAAGAGTAGCTAGATGATGGGATACAGAAGAGGTAGTACAGAACAGTGAAGATTGGTGAGGAACTGTCGAGGAACGAACTACACATCTTAGAGCGACACACATATGGTGATTCATACATCCCATAAGTTTGGTTCAAGACTAATAGTATGATAAAAACCTAGGCCGGGCGCTTGGATGCTGCTACAAAATATACGATACTAGCTGGCAAACCCGGCTCCGCCCGCCCTGTCAATAATATATTCATAATCAGCATGCTCACTTACCCCCCCTGTGCCAACTCCCAGCCCCGTAGCTCGAATTTTCTGAAAAATTAATAAAATCGATATCGATCGATGACGAAACTAGCCTGTGACACTTTCCCGGCCCCCGAAGTGTATGTGTGCAAAGTTTGGTCCGGATCGGTTCAGAAATGGAATTTTCTATTCGGAACATACGTACACACATACATACATACAGACAGACATTCAGCTTTATATATGAGTAAGGAGAAGCCAGTTACCGCTAATGCATGGAAAAGTGAAAGTGTGTGTGGCCGCGGAATGAAAGCTTCATACCGATACAAACCCGAACGACTCACAAATCGATCGACTGATCGATTTTGTCTTGATACACGCGGAACAATGCCGACCGATTTACCGGTGGAGTCGGGTCAACGCCAGGACAAAATTTTGTCCCGAAACAAAACGCGAGTGGGTGCATCTCCTGCGGTCGTCAACCGCGAATGTCTGAGACCGTCAGAGGCGGCATGCCGCAATGCCTTAAACATGATGGTCCCGCAACGACTCTACGTCTCGAACCATCTCTTGAAGCGTTACACTCGCCCAAATTCAAAATGATGAGCCTCAGAAAACGCTAGTTTTGCCGTTTTCGCGCTCTTCAAAGTGTATTTTCGCAATCAGCGCGTTGAAATACCCCCATGTATTAGGTCGTTCCGAAAGTAATGTCGCTTTTTTCAAATGAACGCCACATTTCGTGGAACCAAGATTTTCAAGAGCTCTCAAAATCATTCGATGCAGCATTTTGTTTCTAATAATTTCTAATTGTTCTCTTTCTAATGGCTGTAATCACATTGCATAATATCCAATGACCTGTCGAAAAATTACTAGAATCTGCGACCCATGCTTCTTGCCATGGTTAAGTTCGGCCATTTTTCTAAATTTTTGTACCTATTCTCCGAAGAAGTACAAGTGACAGGTAGATAGAGCAAACCCTAGAGGACACAGAATAATTTTTTCTTTTCCTTAGCTTGCTTCATAGAGTTTCTGGGATCAATTTTTCAATGCATTAAGTTCCATATTTGGTCAGCAAACCCCACTGAACAACAATCGGCAAGCAACTCGGGTGTCATTCAACGCAGCCTCTTCTCCTCTTTCTACCACTTGTTTTTTGTTTCTGATTCATCAAGTTTTCCAGGATAAAATCATTATAATTCAGATTTTCCAGGGCCCCCAGGGTGTACTCGGAATTTTCGAAAGTTGCTAATCTGAGGCGGTGGCGAACCATAATTCATTTTTGTAAGTTTCAAAATCCGTAGATTTATTGGCGTTTGATGCATTTGTGTCTAAGACCAGCCTGCTAAAATTCAGTGGTTCCATCAAGAAATCTATACAAAAATTATGACGAGCTCTGGAAAGTAGAAAAAAGTTGTACTGTTTCCTGTAGGGTTTGCTCTATCCATCCATTACTTGGACTCCCTCCGAGGATTGTTCTGAAAATTTAGAAAAATTGTGAAACTTGTCTTTCTCAAAAAGCATGGGTCGCAGATTTTGATAATTTTTCAAAAGGTTATTGAATTTTGCGCAATGTTTATATAACCCTTAGAAAGAGAATGAAATGCTGCATCAAATGCTACCAGAATCTCTTACACATCTTTGTTCCACGAAAGTGGCGTACGTTTGAAAAAAGCGACATTACTTTTGGAGACCTAATAAGTGAAAAAAACTTCGGGTCGAGGATTTGCTGAGCCACTGCTTTACAAGCGCGACTTCAGCCTTGCCAAATTGGGATATAGAAACTGAATAACCAGTACTGCGCTGCTGCGCTATTAATGTTATGATAGTCATTGTTAACAGGCCTCTTAAATGGCTGTGGTAGATCTCGTATTGAGATCCATAGTGTTTGATAGAAGAACAGCTTGCTGTTTATGGCAAAGCCTTCATCTTTACAGGTCGTTTTTAGTATTCACGCCATCCAAAAGGGCTACAACGTTTTGCGGGCAATTAATTCAGAGTCGTGCAACAAGATCGTAATACTGACTTGGAACTACTGGCTCGCATGGCATAGCCTTTGATATGCACACAAATGTGCGGACATTTTAGGCTACTTAAGACCTTCAAGTGCTTTTAACCTCCCAGATTACTCTGGTACCAATTTACCGGCCCCGGAGGGTAAAGGGCTTGGTTGGCCCAGAGGCGGGGATCGAACCTGTGCCCGATCTGGTCATAGCGGCGCCTCATACCACTACGCCATTCCTCCCCAAGCATAAAAGCACAGACTTGGAAATGACTGGCCCCGCAAGTCACTGTAATAGGCTCACACGCATACAATTGCGTCTTCGACTATGAAGTTAGTGTGTGCGTTCGGCGCATGCCCTCAGAGGGTATTGAAAATGCCGAATCCTTTATCCTTTATCCTTTATCCTTTATAAGGCCGTCAAGATGCTCTTTAATTCTGATGCACAAGGGCCTGCCGGTCTTTTCTATGTATCGGTCACTGCGTTTTTAACATCTATAAGATAAACTACTCCTAACTCCATGCAGTCGCGTACTTTCCCGGGCGGGCAGATCTTACTATCGGTGGTCGTGTAGATTCTGTCATATGCTCGCGGCTTAGTTGCTTCTAAAATTAGAAGGTAGGATATCTATGACTTTGACGAAATCTTAGAGGCCCACCTTGAAACAAAAAATTTCTGATACTTTGTTCTTTCTTCTTGAGCCATACACGAGATTGGTAATTGATTTATTCAATTGACGGCTAACGTTTCGGCAGATCGCCTTCGTCAGTGCCTGTAAGGAACAATACGATCCGCAGCCGATTCGAACAAGCCTTACAGCTGAACAGGCGAAATGTTAAACCTTGTTTTCGACC